TAGCAGGAACAATGGTTACCGTGAGGAAGCTTGTCTCACTTAAGTTGCATTCAGGCTATATGCCCCAGGCTGGGTGTAGTACTCACACTCATAATCCCAAAAATACTAAGACTCATAATCCCAGCCTTGATCATGAATTAATCTCAAACTCTAGAAGTCCCCACCCCATGACTGCATGAGGCTTTGGGGGAACAACTAGACACAAACCATAACAGTTCCTATAATTAAATAATAATACTAGCACAATCTATCAGAATTTATGAAACACATGTAAACAGCCCTAAGAGGAATTTTATAGCATGTAGCTCACATCAGAAAAACAGAAGATGTCCCCCCAAATAACCTGATGATGCACTCCACATTCCTAGCACAACAAGAAAAATTCAAACCCAAAACTAGTACAAGGAGGGAGTTATCAGAAATTGCAGATCAGAGATCAGAGCAGGAATCTATGAAATGGATAAAAGTAAAAGCAAATACAAATACAGGGGGCCTGCCCATTAGCTCAGGTGTTTAAGTGCCTGCTAAAACAAAGCAGTCAGGCTCAGGATGCTGTGGTTCAGTCCCCTCATCCTCAAGCCAAACCAGACCTGCCCTGAAGGCATACTGAGCAGTGCCCCCCTCCCCCCAAAATACAAAGAATCAATGAATTGGAGACATAATTCTTTGGAAGAATAAACAAAATAGACAAATTCATATCCAATCTTACTAAAAAAAAGAAAGGGAAAGAAAAGACAGATCAATGCAATTAGAAGTGAAAAGGCAAAATCACAATGTAAAACATTGAAATGTAGATTATTTAGTAACTACTTTGTACACTTGTATGCCATTACATTGGAGAAATACATTCCTAGATGCATATAAATTACCAAGCTGAACCAAGAACGCTTAGAAACTCTGAATAATCGAATAGCAAGCAGTGAAAACAAAGCAATGATAAAAATATATCAATTAACAAAAGCTTAGGATCTGATGGATTCATTGGTAAATTCTACAAGAATTTCAAAGAAGGCTGGGGAGATAGCACAATGACATAAGCACCTGCCTGGCAAGTCCAGGGTCCTGAGTTCAATCACCCATTACCCCCCGACCAAAAAAAAAAAAAAGAATTTCAAGGAAGATCTAGTGTCAGTACTTCTGAAACTCTTTAATCAACTCTAAAGGAAAGAGTACTCATAAAGTCATTCCTGGAAGGTAGCATTACACTGATTCCAAAACCTGAGAAGGATCCATTTAGAAAAGAGAACTACAGGCCAATCTTTCTAATGAATGTAGATGCAAAAATCCTCAACAAGATTCTGGCAAACAGAATCCCACAAACCATTAGAAAATCATATACTGTGACTGAGCAGGTTTCACCCTAGAGATGCAGGAATGGTTTAACTCACATGAATCAATAAATGCAATCCACTGCATAAATTGAAGCGAGGAGATATATATATATATATATAATAGCTAAGATAATTGCACTACTAATTTCTATTAGTTAATTGAAAGGTACAGTCAGTGCTTATATTTTTTCATCAATTTTACATCCCTGTATCTGGCCATCTGAGCAACTACTTTGAAGATAACAATATGCAATAAGATCGCCATTGTTAAGTTCCTATCATCTTGTTTTGAAATTCTATATTATTTTTAATGTTTTCTTTTTAAAATAAAAAAAATCACATGATCATTCCAATATATGCTCCCAGAAAACCTTTGGCAACATTTGTCCATAATAAAAACACTGAAGAAAATAAGATAGAGGGGCCTGATCTCAACCTGATAAAAGCCATTTATGACCAATTTATTGCCAGCATCATATCGAATGGGGAAAAATTGAAGCTTTTTCTCTAAAAATAGGAATAAGATAAAGAGGTTCACTGCTACTCTTCCTTTTCAACTTAATTCTTGAAACCTTAGCCAGGGCAGTCAGGCAACAGAAAGACATAAAAGCGATTCATATAAGAAAAGAGGAAGCAAAAAATATCTTTATTTGCAGATGTATGATCTACTTCTAGGACCCAAGTAGCTCCACTAAGAGAGTCCTAGAATCAACCAAGTTCATCAAGGTAGCAGGATACAAAATCAACACACCATAACAGACAGTATTTATGCACACTAATAATAATAACTCACTGAAAAAGAAGTTAGGAAAACAATAGCAACAACAGTAATATTAATAAAAATTAAATACTTAAGGATTAACCTAACTAAGGAAATGAAAGACCTCTACAGTGAAAATTATAACATCCTTAAATTATGAATCACCAAAACTGAACCAAGAAGAGACAGAAGAAGATATAATAGAGATAGAAGAAGTTATCAGAAAATGGAGACATTTGCCACGTTCCTGGATAGGCAGAAAAAATATAATCAAAATGGCTAATTCTGTATTGTTCCTATTTTTTTTTACTACTTTCTATTATCTTAGAAAAAACCTGAAACATGCTGCTAGAAAGTAAAATAGGTAAAATTCTTCAAGATAGGTGTAGGCAAGGATTTTCTGAACAGAGCCCCAGAGGCACAAGATAGTACTAAGAATCAGCAAATGGGATCATACCAAGGTAAAAAACTTCTTCACAGTAAAGAAAACAACCAACAGAGTGAAAAGGCAGGATATAGAATGGAAAAAATTTTCCATTCCTCAGAGGGCTATACTATATAAATTTTTTAAAAAAGTTAGATGCTCAAAACAAAAGGACTACTCAAAAAATGGGCAGCTGAAGTGAATGGACATTTCTCAGAAGAAGTGAAAATGGCCACTGAATACAAGAAAAATAATGTTCACCCTTGGTGATCATTAGAGAAATACAAATTAAGAAAACTCTGAGGCTCCAAAAGGAATCACTATTATTAAGAAATCAGATAATAACAAAAGCCAATGAGGCTACAGAGGAAAAGGAATCTTTCTGCATTGCTGTTTGAAATAGGAACTAGTACAACCACTGTGGAAGTTGGTATGGAAATTCCTCAAAAACACTAAAACTAAAAACTCCACTCAACCTGGCTATTGGTCTTTTAGGTGTCTTCTTCAGAGTTGAAGGTACTATGTTACAGTGATGCATGCATATCCATGTATAATAGCACAATTTGTAACAGCTGAATCTTGGAAACTGCTTATATGCCCATCAATAGATGCATGAATAAAGAAAATGTGGTATTTAACCACAACAGAGTATTATTCTGTCATAAGGAAGGATAAACTAGAAGCATTCATAGGGAGAAATCCAACATATAAAGAGCAAAATAAAAGACAGATAATAGGAATTAGGGAGATTTTTGCAAATGGGAAAGGGAACAGGAGTTGGAGGGAAGTGGAAGGGAGGGAGGAAAAAGGAAAAAACAGAAATGCAGGGGAAAAAATAGAAATTGAGATTTTATAAATGGGAGGAGAGCAAGAGTTGAAAACAGCAAAGAGGGATGGGAGGGGAAGGGATGAAGAAAGGGCTAAGATGTGTTATGTGCATGCGCCAGCTCCCCACGATAAATGCAATCACTATGTACTGCAAATATGTACGAATACAAAATAAACAAAAAATTCCAAGGTATCTTTTGCATGTTCACAGCAGCTTGGTATGAAATAAAATACAAATGAGATTAAAAACTAGAATTTTTGGAACCTTGCCTGGTGTTTTCTTCAGGGTTTCCAATGTCTTTATGCTCTTCCATCTCCAGTGGCTCTCTGTATGGGTTTATATGTCCCACTGCACAAGCTCCTAGGGTTGCCTTTCAATTTAATACATATTGCGTCATATCTGAACAATGTTTGTCAGAGTTTATAATAAAGGGGTGGGACTTTTCTTCCTTCTAGGTAGAAGTGATTTTCTTACATACTGTACTTATGTTTTGCTTATTTCCTTCTCCACAGTATTTTTATGAATTGTAACTTCACAGTTTCACCTCTGTTATGTTCACATATTAAGCTCACACCTAAATTTTTATAGTCTCAATGGAGCTGGTGTAAAAGGGTGTTGCTCTTTTATTATTCAAGTGTTGATATGTGAGTGATTCCAGTTGTACATTTATTTGTCCTATCTCATTGTTTATCCACAGTTTTTACTGTTTTATCTATAGTTTTTCTTAAATTCTCTTCATGATATTTCTGCAATCCTGAGTTTACATGTATTATAGGATTAACCTATTATCTCTAAATCATGATTTTTGACTGAAACTTTCTGTATAATTTTCACCATCCAAGTGCTATGGGAAGCTTGGAAATCTCTGTCTTTGTTCTTACTCTCAGAAAACACATAGTTGGATTGAAGCAAAATAGACTCAATAAAAGGAGAGAAACTGATCCCATTATTCAAAACATTCTTTCTAAGAAAATGGTGTCATGAAATTTCTAGAAAGGAATTCTTACAAATATACACTTAGCGAATAAATAATATCGATCTCATATGAATAGTTCCAGAAGATAGACAAAGGAACCCCCAAGCCTTCCATGTGAGGAAAGTATACCATATTGCCAAAACTTGACAAAGAGACATTACAGGAAAGAAAAATTAGAGTCAACCATACCATGGCACCCAGCAACAAAAACCTGAAACACCATCCAATGAAATCCAGCTATGTAAAGTAAAATATCATAACCAAATTAAACTTACTCTGAAAGTAATGTTAGAAAATTAATCAGTGAAATTTAGTATGTTACCAAAACAAAGAAATTATGATTACTGCAGAGATACAGAAAAATCTGTTGATAAAATTTATTATTTATAAAAATATTCTTATACAGTTAGTAGTGGAAGAGAACTTCCATAATGCTACAAAATTCTTTAAGAGAGAGAAAAAACCAAACATCAAACTTAAATGTGAAAAGTTGAAAGCTTTTCCTTTAAAATGGAAATGAAACTTGGAATGGTACTGCATGCCTCATCAAGAGCTCAAGGCTAGCCTGGACTATGTAGCAAGACCCTGTCTCAAGAAAAAAGAGGGAGTGCATGTGTGCTTGTTTGGTGCAGATGTAGTACTTCTGTGCAGCGGCAGCTAAGAAGACTCCAGCGTTCACTATGGCTGATGAAAAGCCCAAGGAAGAAGTCAAGACTGAGAACAATGATCATATTAATTTGAAGGTGGTGGAGCAAGGAGGTTCTGTGGTGCAGTTTAAGAGTAAGAAGTGTGCACCTCTTAGTAAACTAATGAAAGCCTACTGTGAACAACACGGATTGTCAATGAGGCAGATCTGATTCTGATTTGATAGACAGCCAATCAATGGTGTTGTTGTCCAGTGATGAACAACCTGCACAGTTGGAAATGGAGGATAAAGATACAATTGATGTGTTCCAGCAGCAGACAGGAGGTGTCTACTAAAAAGGGAACCAGCAAAACTCTACTCCAGAACTCTATTCTTACAGACCAAGAATACATTCTCAATTTAAAAACTGCAATTTGGTTCTACCACATTCTGACTACTATATAGTTTTCTCTATTTTTCATTTACCCCTTCCCCATTTAATAAAGAATCTGGTGCATATGCACAAGCATGCTGCTTTTTTTAAAACACTAAATGGCCAACAGTAAGTTTTGATTGACATGAAATTGAGGTGGAGGGGCTGGGGAGGTGGCTCGGTGGAATAAGCGCTTCCCTGACAAGTGCAAGGGCCTGAGTTCAATCCCCGGTTCTGCCAGAAAAAAAATAAATAAAAAAAAAGAAATTGAGGTGGAATGGGAAATTACTGGTTCTGTGAAAATAATCCCCTTTGTCCATTAGGGGCTCGCTCATCAGCTCTTTATATTCCATTAAGTTATTTTGCTCTCACTGTTTTAATGGAAAAGACAACATAAAAATCCTTGCATACTTTGTTTGGTTGGAGAATTTTATAACTTTTTTGTATGTAGCTGTTACATGTAGGGCAATCTGTGTTTAAGCAGCAGTAAATTACTCTTTAAAAAAGAAGAATCCTAGATATTTTTCCCTTTAAGTCAAGTATCTTGTTGTTTAAATAAACTTCTTGTTTAAAATGAAAAAAAGGACCGGTGTGATAGCTCAGCGGACTAAAGCACCTGCTTAGGCAAGTTTAGGCAAGCACAGGGACTGTGGTTTGATCCCTGGCACCACATGCTGTGCCAGCCCTGCCCTCAGGGCAGGCTGAGCAGGCCAGAGTCTGGGATTAGTGGTACATGCCTATAATCCCAGTGCTGAAGACGCTGAAAGCAGGAGGATCACCACTAGTCTGAACTGTGTAGTGAGGTGTAGTGAGACCCTGCAACAAATACACAAAAAATAAAAAATAAATAAATAAAATGAAAAAAAGGGGATGTAAGACACATGTCCACTCTCATTCCTTTTAAATATTGTGCTGGATCTCTAAATGAAGAAAAACATTCTGGAACCATGAATGAGGGAAAAAGAAGAAAGCCAATGGAAACAAATTAAAGACATAGATTGCAAAGGGAAATATAATGATCTTATTACACACAGATGACATTATAATACATGTAGAATATCCAAAAGAACTTAAATGTATAGAAACACAAATGGCCCAAAATAGCTAACAACTATTTAGAAGAATAACAAGATGGAAGGATGTGCTCAATTGGATATCCAGCTACTATAAAACCACAGTGACTAAAAAGTTTGTATTAATGCATGGGTAGTTGAATGACTCAATGGAGCAAAGACATCTACAAACGGACTGTAACGATTGATACATTGTATCAATTTGAGAAGTTTAGAAGTTTAACTCAGCAAGAGTCAGGGGCCTTACTTTGTAAACGTCTTCATCCTTGTCATAGGAGGTCATGGAGGTGGTGTGATTGCTACACCCACCCCGGGGGAGGCTAGCCTTCTTACAATATAAGGGAGGAACAGAGGTTTTTTCTCCCCCTCTTTCGGTTCTTGTTGCTTTTTCTGTCTTCTTCTGCCTTGAACTGCTGCCTTGTGCCATGCCACTCTACTTTGGAGACAGCCGATTATGAACTGAAATCTCTATAATTGTGAGCTAAATAAACCTTTTCTTTCTTGATTTTGGCCATTGGGTATTTTGTTTCAGCAATGAGAGAAAAGTAACTAAGACACAGATTAAAAACAGACTTACACATATTTGGATGCTTGATATTTGACAAATTTAAATTTCTCTTGAATAAACAGTGCTGGGACTATCGATTCTTCATACGTAAAATCTTAAATCCATATCTCATATCATACATAGAATTAAATTTGTGGTGGGCGAAAGGTGGTATAGTGCTTCTAGTTAATGGTATAGAGTAGTATCTTCCTATTTTGTTTAGGGAAAGACTCATTAAACAGGACTCAAATTATACTAGTCATTAAGTCAGTAAATTATCTTCATTAAAATTAAAATGTTTTGTTCATTAAAAGGCATGATTAAGAGGGTGCAATGGCAAGTAATGATTCATAATTTAAAACACATAGCAACCATTGGACTCTTGCACACTAATAAAGGTATGAACTAGGAGGAATAAAACAACAAAACTTTTGAGTAGACTTTTCACAAAAGAAGTTATCTAAAGATCTAGTAAACCTATATAAATCAGAAAAATGGAAGTTAAAACCATGATGAAATTCAACTACACATTCATCAGAACAGATACTGATAAACACTAGGTTCTGGGAGGTAAAACAGGGAATTGTTATGCACAGCTGGTAAGAGAATAAATGGTCACAGTTTGAGAAACAGCTTAGCACTCCCTGTTAAAACTAAAGATACAGGGGGCTGGGAAAATAGCTCAGTAGAAATAAGCACTTGCCTGGCAAGTGCAAGGTCCTGAGTTCAATCCCTGGTACTGTAAAAAAAAAAAAAAAAAAAAAGAAAGAAAAGAAAAGAAAAAGAAACAAACAAAAAAAATTAAAGATACATATTTATTATGACCTTACAATTCCACATATGTAATATATAATATATCTATATGTCAATGAGGATGCACATACGTGGGTATGTACCAGAAGACAGGTAGAAAAAGTCAAAACAGAATGCTCCCAACAGTGCCAAACTTTAAACAGCCCACCTGCCGTTTAGGAGTAGAATAGATGAATAATGCTGCATTTATAAAATAACATTTAGTAAGCAATGAGAGTGAACCAATTTAGTGGGACCATACAACATGGATGAATCTTTCAACACAATTTTGAGTGAAAGAATCCAAATGCAATAAAAGAAAGGCAAGGCTAGGCACGGTGATGAATACCTGTAGTACCAGCACTTGAGAGACTGTGGCAGGAGGATTGCTGCAAGTTCGAGGCCAGTCTGGGCTATGTAGTAAGTTTGAGGCCAGCCTGGACTACATGGTGAGACCCTATCTTAATGTACAAAAACAAAGCAAAACAAAAAATATACGTAGTTCAAGATTTTATTTATAAGAAATTTTAAAATCAAGTAAAGTAGAACTTCAGTATTAGAGATACAAGTGTGAAGACTTTTTTTTAAGGCAGTGATTTCAATAAAAATCAGGATAGTGTATCCTCATCAGAGAGGGTTGGTGTGGTGATGCACCTGGAAGGGACCTCTGGCAATAGTCTTTATTTGACTTTGGGGTTGAACTCAGGGACTTTGCACTGAACTACACCCCTAGCCCTTCGAATTTATTTTTGTTTGATTTTAGACAGGTTCTTGCCAAGTTATTAAATTGCCAAAGCTGGCACAGAGTGCCGGAAATAGAGACATGCACCATCATCCCTGGATAGTTATACTTCTTGAACTCATTTTATAGATGTTTACTTTGGTTTTCCTCTGTCTGTATTTTTTTTTTAATTTTATGTATTTAAAAAAATTTTTTTTGGCAGAACTGGGGATTGAACACAGGTCCTTGTGCTTGCCAGGGAAGCACTTATTCCACTGAGCTATCTCCCTGGCCCTATATTTTTTATCATATACTTATGTACATAATTATGGTGGAAAAGATGGCTAGATACACTAACATACATATAAATGATGACACGATGAATAACGGTTTCTAAAAACGAAACAGACTGATGTGTAGTGATGTGGAAAGGTTTTTAAATAATTTTTGAAGGTTTCTGAGACAAGCTCCTGCTATACTTCCCAGGCTGGTCTTGAATTCGTGAGTTAAAGCAGTCTTCTCGCTTCAACTTTCTAAATACTGGGACTATAGGTATGTGTTACTGCACTTACCTTTTATTTTTTATTTGATTTTTTGTTTTTATGAGGAATTTTTGAAGATATACCATTACCATACAGAAAATGAAATAATTTTGTAGGATGATGTACACAATGTGGTATATTCATGTCAATTTTTTTTTTTTTTTTTCGGAACCGGGGATTGAACTCAGGCCCTTGTGCTTGCCAGGGAAGCGCTTACTCAACCAAGCCATCACCCAGGCCTCCAAAATGTTGCATTTTTGATTTTATACTCTTTATTCTTTTTTTTTATTTTGGTGGTACCAGGGATTGAACTCAGGACCTTGAGCTTGCCAGGCAAGCACTTATTCTACTGAGCTATCTTCCTGGTCCCCCCCCCAAAATAATATTGTATATACATCCTTAATTTTAGAAGTATAAAAATTGAGCTCACCTCTGAGAAGGGGGCTGAGTATTCTTTTTTTTTCCCTGCCTCAGGTTTATTTGTACAAAGAGCACAGGAGGACATCAGCCCCTCACAGATGGCACCCCCAGAGCCACACCAGTCCTGTTTTTACATCAGCAGAGAAGAGACTTCTACTGTAGAGCCTTTGTGGGGCCTGGGCACTTTGGGAGCCTGGCCTGGAGCAGAAACTGGAGCTTGCGCTTTAGCTGGAGTCTGGGCCTTTGGCCGGCAAGGCCTGCAACCCTTGGCAATGCAGGTACAGATACACTTCCCAGGCTTGGGATGGGTAATATAGGCAAGTTGAGCGAGCCTGCAGTTTACTCCCTGTTGGATGATCTTGGGCTTGACCTCCTTGGGCTTGACGAGGGCCTTGATAGCCTCGGCACATGCACTCATGGCCTTGGCATTGTTTGCTTATGTCTTCTTGAAGCTTTTCTTGTTGTGCTTCTTGGCAAAATGCATGTTCGTAAGGAACTTGGGATCTACCCCCTTCAGAGATTCATATCTTTGTGGCTGAGGTTTCTTGATGTCATTTCTGTGCCATTTCTGGGACTGGTTGTGTTTGGTGTGATTCTTGGACTTGGCCATAATTGCACTGCAAACTGCGGCTACCAAGCGCCTCGCGGGGCTGAGTATTCTGATACTGGAAATAACCTTGAGCAGCTTCACCTAGAATGAATGTCCCTAGCAGGACATTTCCTTCCTTCTTCTACCCTTGAAACTGCTATAAGTTTCAAGAGTTCATTCAGTCTTTCATTCAATAAACACATAGAATATGGTCCTCCCTAAGACAGAGCTCAGAGTAG